AACACCTGACTTGGCATTAATGAGAGGCCACAGGTGGTTGGTGTTCGGCAGGTAGAATTCTTACCTATAATTATAAGCCCACAACCCAACCCACCTGTCCTGATCTAACTGATGTAAGATTTTTCCGGCATTGATAACGTGAGGTTTAATTTTTTCTTCCCCTAAATGGTCTTTGGTTTTGTTCCTGTGATCTTTATGACTCTCCTAGTGACCTGAAGGAAATTTCCCCACACTAGGATATTTCATCTTAGGACTAGGGTATATTTTTTCGCCACTCAGAACGCAGTCAAAATTTTAGTGATTGATATGAAGTTATACATAAATGATGAAGGAAGAGATGAAAGACGTGAGATTATGTAGATGGAAGAGATGAAAGAAGTGAGATTTTGTAGATGGAAGAGATGAAAGAAGTGAGATTATGTAGATGGAAGAGATGAAAGAAGTGAGATTTTGTAGATGGAAGAGATGAAAGACGTGAGATTATGTAGATGGAAGAGAAGAAAGACGTGGGATTTTGTAGATGGAAGAGATGAAAGAAGTGAGATTTTGTAGATGGAAGAGAAGAAAGAAGTGAGATTATGTAGAAGGAAGAGATGAAAGAACTAAGAGAGATTCTGTAAGTAAACTTCTGGTGGTACACGACACTACACCCAACCCCTCCCCTCCTCTCTCCCTCCCCGCCTCCCTTACCACCCCCCTCCCCTCCCCTCACCTCCTCCTTACCCCCACCCACTCCCTCCCCCTCCCCCCCTCCCCTCCCTCCCTCCTCCTTACCACCCCTCCCCTCCCTCCCCTTACCCCCCTCCCCTCCCCTCCTCCCTCACCCTTACCCCCCCCTCCCCTCCCCTCCCCGCCTCCCTTACCCCCCTCCCCTCCCCACCCCTCCTCCCACCCCTCCCCTCCCCTCCTCCCGCCTCCCCTCCCCCTCCCCTCCCTCCTCCCGCCTCCTCGTCAACAACAAACTTGCCACACCACTTCACTTCCGGCAGACGACCAGAGAAAGTTCACTGGACTGTTTTGAGTTTTAGCCGTAAGATAAACCCAGGTAGCCGAACAAAACTCGATTAGTTGTTGTTATATAGAGGAAGGAAGGAAGGAAGGAAAGAAGGAGAGATGATAAAAGGAAGGAAGGAGAAAGGATAAATGAAAGGAGAGAAAGATAAATGAAAAAAGAAAGGAGAAATGAAAGGAGAGAAAGAAAAATGAAGGAGAGAACGAGGAAGGGAGTAAGTAAGGAAGGAAGGAAGGAAGGAAAAAATAAAGGGAGAGGGAAGGGAGAATGGAAGGAACGGAAGAGAGAGATATGTTTATAATACACTAAAGTCATTATAGACCAAACAAACAAATGATACCTAAATTGGATCACCTTAAGATTAGCCACCCCAGTTTATTTCACCTGATGTTACAAAATCCTAACCTAACCTAAACTAATCAGATATTGTGACATAAGATAACGCTTCTCATATTCACCCAACATTGGTATTTTATTCCTCAGCCTTAATTTAGTATATGGATCTAGATTAACACACACCAAATATGTGATGTACCTTGGTGGACGGCCGAAGCTTCAACAGACAACATAGAAGAGTAAAGTAGTTCTGTACAGGGTGTAAGGACAGCAGATAGCCCCTTATAGGCTTTCATATTAGGAAATCACAACGAACATCGTCATTCTGAGAGTTGTTTTGGTTTCACAGTCGGGATTGACTCCAACGTGTATAATAAGCTCGCCAGGTTTTTATAAATGGTTTGTGCTGGACTGGAAAAATAAATCTGAGACAAACTTGCGGAGTAAATAAAAATAGTTTAGTTTGTCCCTAACTTATACCAGCGAAAATAATGTCATCAAAGAAAATATAGTTCTTAGGGGTAACTATATTGTTATTATAAAACACTACAGCCAATGAAAAACTGACGATGAAAATAATTTGAAAGCCACACAAGAATTTAAACCCCAAAACTAAAAGATCTTAAAATTAAAGTATTTTTCGAAACAAATTTCGTATGATTTTAAACACTGACAAATAACACAAAATCATCACTGGAGCTAAAGTAATGCAAGCTTAACATAACCTCGAATACTCAAAAAGGTCAAATTAACTTAATACATCTGCTCAGAAAACCATACCCGTCTTGCCCAAAATCGACATTAATCGGTGGTTTTAATATCATGATAATTAAACTAAGCAAACAGCGTATGTAAAGAGATAGAGAGAGAGAGAGTCAGTAAAATCTTCCTACAGGTTCACGTTGGTTCAACATGTGTAAGTCTGTTCAAAAAGTTACGGGAACTTAAATCATTACATTTAGCGCACAAGCTCGTTCCACCAGGACAGACGGTCAATCAAGTGTTTATTTAGATATTGGATATGCTAGTAGTCACTATTGTGGTTGTTGTGGTGACAGTGAGATATGTTATCCTTCGAGGTATACCACTATTACAGTCCACAGCTAACCAATCAATAAATGATACAGGGGGGTGATATTATGAAATAAACAAAAAATCTTCACAATAACCTGAACTCCCAAGATAAGAAGGAAATAGTTAAACAGACACAAAGAAGACATTGAATATGTAAATTTGAACAACTTCAATTTCAGCTCTATACTGTTTACTGGAATATTATAAAGAAAATGGTGGTCTTCGGATGGTAACCCCCATTTAAGATTATAATATACTTTTCTTTTAAAGAATGATGACGTCAATAGACACTATACAACACACTAATTACTGTATACTTCCTTAAAGCCAACAGTTTATACTAGAATAATAAAACATGTAGTTAGGGATGGAGAAATATCCACTTGGGATGACAAGTGTCGATTCATGGCCTTCAAGTCGAAATAAAACTATTGTATGACGTGTCAGGCAGTAAGTCTCGTTCAACATGAGAAATGTCGAAATCAAATGAAGAGTTTCAAGCAACTCATAGACTTGGCGATTTTTAATGAAAATTTTCGATTCTGTTTGCAAAAAGGTGTATTAGTCAGGCCAAAGCATGACTGACCTGACCGCTTCTGACGGCCCTACATGATACAAAAATAACTGGAATGAGGGACTGTTCCAGCTGTAGTGGGTCACCAAATGACACCACCGCCTTGCATATTGACCTGCCAGTTGTATGAGCCAGAAACACTTTATTGTTCACCATGCCCTACTTTTCATAGCACACACACACACACACATATATATATATATATATATATATATATATATATATATATATATATATATATATATATATAACACAATAACAGGACAGCAAGTTACTGCACCTCACACATTATAATGATTTCCTGGGTGAGTGTGTGTCACCCCGGGGCAGCATTGCACAGTAGCCTGGGGTGATGGTTCCTTGTACAGCGTGCCACCCCCCGCTTCCTGTGGCCTACCCCGGGTCACTGTGTGTGGGGGGGGTGTACAGTGTGAGTGTGGGAGGTGTTGATGTGTGTATCGGGGTGTTGTGGTGTGTCGAGGATGTTGTGGTGTTATAGAATGTCTCGGGGGTATTGTGGTATGTGAGGGGTGTTGCAGTGCATGGGTGTTTTTCAACGTGCGTGGGTGTTGTGAAGTGTATATGGGTATTGTTGAGTGTGTATGGGTGGTGTTGAGTGTGTGGGGGTTATAGAGTGAGGGTGCTGTGGTGTGTTCGTTTTATGCGTTGTGTTTGTGGTGGTACAGTATTGTAGTCTTCGTTACCCAGAGATCCTGTACACCACAATCTATCCTTTGTTAAGTGCCAAGTAGAATATTTTCTATACAAACGCATCTGGCCACTTTTCATATGGATTCTGTTTATTTTCTGACTCTTAACTAACCTCTTCCTTGCTATATATAAGTATGTATATTTCCTGTGTAGCAATTTTCTAGCCTTTTACGCAAATTTATTACAGAAACAACGTAGCCTTTAGTTATTAAATAAGTTGCCGTTTATTATTTGTCCTTATAATCATGTTAGTTACGTCAACATCTACTACAATGTTATATTTAATTACTGACTACTCTGTGGATGTGTTCAGTTGTCGGTTAGGTTAAGTTTTTTAAGAATAACAGCGGAAGAGTCGAGAGGATTGGACGAAACATTGTGGAAACGTTAACTACAATCCATTAAATCATTCAATGCCGTTAGGTACGTTTTAAAAGGTTTTCTGATAAGGTAGGTAGGTTACTTTAGGTTAGGTTGGTCAGTTCAAGTTGTAATAGGTTCTGTCCATTCTCGTTTCCATTTATCTATTTATTAGATTGTAAATAACGTTTCCACAAAGTTTCATCCAATTCTATCAACTCCTTTAGGTGTTAGTCTAAAAAAACTACCTACAGGTAACCGACTAAACAAATATCCATAGCCTTTTAATTATCGAGTCAAGGTGGCTTTTAAATCACATATTAATTAATAGTGATGCATTTCAATACAATTCTGTGAATGTAATTACAGTATATGACATCATACATTATAAACTGAACTTATCATTTACTTACAGATAATCACCTTTTCCGTTTTGGAGTGAGTGAAGATGTGGTACAAAGTTAACTTAGAAGAAAAATGACTCACCAGTATTGGCTCAACGTGACGTGCTGGAGGACTGGAGGGAGACCATGTAACCTGTAACTCAGATTATCCGAAAATAATCGATAATGAGCAGGCTTGGAGTCATATATATCCAAACATCTGTTCTTTACATAACCCGTCAATGGGGATGTGAGGTTAAGACTTATTTTTAGCCATCATTTAACCACAGAAAGGAGTGAGTGTTCAAAAGTAGCGCTAGTTTTGCTCGCTTCCAAACACATATCATTTTATACCTGACGTCACACTCATGGGTCTCTTCCTGGGTTCTGGCTAAAAGACATTGAATGACTAATATAAATTAGAATCCAAATCTCTAATGGTGGTTAAATCTAAAATGGCGGGGTTAGACTGGAAGGATAATAGTCTTAGATGCTCCTGTAGGGCGGCTGATCGTCACTTGTTTCTGATACTAGCCTTCAGTTTCCGTCATCTATCGTAAGCGAATGGAAGAGGTTTTCTCCGAGTCCTGTCAGCGGAGATGGAAACTGAACATCTTTTGGACGATAGTCTAGATTCAGTTGAGGTAGGGATTGTTCACTGTGTTCTTTGGGGTTGTTTAATCATTTATAATAGATTGTTAAGCTCTTGTAGACCCTCTGTGGTGACCAGCAGAGGTTCATTCCATGGCCTCCAGGTTTGTCAGACCCGTCTCAGATGAGTGAAGGTCAATATTTTACTTTCTTTAACGCAAATAGACGTCATTATTGGCTTATATTGGTGAATAATAATATGTACTGTGCATTACATGACCTTTCACAATAGTTTTATCAAGCCCTGGTGTCCTGGAGCAAAATTATAAGCGATTTTGTGTGATTGTTTTGAAACTCATGCTGAATGAAGGTCTGGGGTGAAAAGGTGTCATTTCCTTTTAGTTTACATTCGTATTATTTATTCCTGCGTATGAACTGTGTCTTACAGGACAACCAGATATAACGAACTAAAATGTCTGCGATAAAATTGAAGTTATAAGTGAGTAATGAACACAAAGATTCTTGGTTTGTGGCTGTCACTGTCAGAAATATTTGTCTATTCTTGGTGCCTTGCTTTGTTCACTATGTTTATTTATTGTGAAGAATCAAGAATCTAGATGGATTTTATTTATAACAATGGAGGGAATTTAAAATCTTGTCTAACAAATAATGAATGTGGGTAAGTGTGGAGGAAAGGAGGCCATCCTTTACTGCCCTTATATATCAAAATCAAACTATCAAGAATTATTGCTCTTGGTGTATTAGTCATCATCAGGTGGCAGATAGATGATACTTAAACCTAAAATTGATTTCGAATCACTTTGAATATAATACTGAAAGATAGATAGGTTGGTATTTACACAAATTCTCATTGGTTGGGCATGTACTGTACATGCAAAAATGAAAGTTTAAATTCACTTGAGATATAAAGACAAAATTCAAGTGTTTTTGAAGTGGTAGTGAAGAACGGGAATCCGAGTGCTTAGTGTGTAGACCCGGTACTTTCGTCTCTGTGGAAAATAAAAGTGCAAATGATTTACTAACTCATGTGGACTTGTATACAAACTCATGTGGACTCAGACAAGCACAAGAAAGCAGTTCAAGGAGAGAATCTATCAGCAAAATTGACAAATTATTTTGTAAAACTAGGCAGCAAATCCGAGGATGCCTCTACTGCAGCATATATAATGTGTAAACACAGTATATAACATTAAAACAATACTATTTAGTAGACACTGGTAAAAATCCCCCCCCCCCCCAATCGTCTCGGCGGAGTGGCTTTTCTTTTTTAAATGATCAAATACGGTAACCCGAGTTAACCAAGAACATTCCAAGACAGGGTAATACTTGACGAGAGTGGTCACGCATTAGCACCAACTTGGGGAAATTTCTCTATAGAGGGTAAAAGGTATATGTTTCTTTCCCCTTTATGGATTTGATCAAGAAAACCTGTGTTAGGATTTATGAAAGTGGTTTCTTCCAATATACTACAGTGTGTGCATTTTGTACTTAGTGGTCACTGCAGCTGGTTATTTTCATTCAGTGGAACCATAAATGGCTCTGTCAAATGAAAACAGATATTCACCCTTTGCCCAGTGATCCAGTCTCACTAAAGGCATAGTTTAGTGATTACTGTATTATTATTTTTTATACACCACATCACCAGACACCTAAGCAATAATATTGTAGTGAAAATATAGGATAAATAGTCCAGCTTACAACTCGGCTGGTATTATCCCCTATGCAAACACTCGGTCATTTACTATACAAGTCGCAGTAACTCACATAAATCTAATTATTGTCACATTGAGTGCAAATTGGTGATACAGTAGAGGCATTCCTGATATGCAGATGAGCACTTTTGGTAAAGTTGTCATTGTGTCAATTTAGGCGGTCCGACTAATTACCCAAATGTACCCAAATGTAGCCAAATATAGCCGGAATGAAGTCAAATAATGGTCTTACATGAATAAATCGGACTGCTAATCACTTCTCGACTAGTATTTGGTGTCAAAGTCACAAAAAATTGGAAAATTTACTTTAATCTGAGTTAATAGATCGCGTGCATGTACCGACGGAGCGAGGATTTACCCAAATGTAGCCGCAATGAATTCAAATGATGGTCGTACAAGCGTAATTCGGGCTGTGAATCACTTCTCGATTATTATTTGGTGTCATAAAGTAAAAAAAAAATTGGTAAACTTAATTTAATCTGAGTTGTGTTGGGTTAGGTTATGTTAGATTAGATTAGGTACATGCACTTGATCTATTAACTCAGATTAAATTAAGTTTACCAACTTTTTGTGACTTCGTGACACCAAATACTAATCGAGGTTAGGTTAGGTACATGCACTTGACCTATTAACTCGGATTAAATTAAGTTTACCAATTTTTTGTGACTTTGTGACACCAAATACTAGTCGAGAAGTGATTGGCAGTCCGATTTATTCATCTAGGACCATTATTTGACTCCATTGCGACTACATTTGGGTAATTCCTCGCTCCGTCGGTACATGCACGCTATCTATTAACTCAGATTAAAGTAAGTTTTCCAATTTTTTGTGACTTTCTGACACCAAATACTAGTCGAGAAGTGATTGGCAGTCCAATTTATTCATCTAGGACCATTATTTGACTTCATTCCGGCTATATTTGGGTACATTTGGGTAATTAGTCGGACCCCAATTTAGGCATTACTGGTATGCAAAATTAATTAGGATATGCAGATTTCTATTTTTTTTTTTCATACACATTACTGTACTTTTATGCATTCAGTTATAAAATACTCTTATAAAGTTAATATTTTTGCAGGCACCCATGACGGTGATCTACGACAACAACACATCACCCATGAGTGTCACAACTAGTGGTGGCATTCGAAGTGGTGATGGTGTCAGTGACAATGAGGAGCCAGAGCCTATGACCACGATACTCCTCTCCCACTCCTCGGGCGGGGTGGGGGGAGGAGGAGGAGGGCGACGGAAAAAAGAATCCACAGCTCACTACAACAATGAGCGGGAGATGTGCCTTCAATTTTTTGAAAAATGGAGTGAACAAGATCAGTTAGAATTTATGGAGCATTTATTGTCTAGAATGTGCCACTATCAACATGGACACATTAATGCCTTTCTAAAACCAATGCTTCAAAGGGACTTTATAACCCTTCTTCCAAGTAAGTGCTGTGTGCAGTCCGAGACATTGTATTTTTTATTCTACTTGTATCTCACAGTGCTATTATCTTTGTTTATTTAAATGTGTATATGGAATAGGTGCTTCTTCTTATGCCTGTCCTTATATCTTGCAAGTAAATCCATATGTCTATCTTTTCATTTTCACTCTTTTTCAGTCTTGAAATTGTGTTCCTTAGCAATTGCATTATGCATATAAGTTTTGCCTTGTTTATTTGGTGTGTTAACTTAACCATAATTGACAATAAAGAGAACTTGTTTGTGCAACTGGTCATCTTTGCAAGGAGCCTGTCATTCACTGTGACTGGCATTGCATAAATGACATTAAGGAAAACAAAAAAAAATTTTCCCTGTAAATGAAGCTCTGCAACTCAAACATAACTCTCACATTATCATCCATGGGACAACACAAGCACCTGTTGAGGTGATGACTGCAGATCTTTTCTTATCTTTTGAAACTTGTTGATGAAGCATCATCGAAGTCGCACATTATGATCACTAGGTTATTGGAATTTCTTTTATTTCGTTTTTATAATCAGTACTGATAATGGGTTGGTGTTCCCCGCCATTGCTGGGTACCTGGGTTTGTTTTTGAGGGGAAGCTCGTAGTCTATGTCTGTGACTACATTATTATTACGCTCCATACATTACACAACATCCACTGCACTATTGTCTACACTATAAAATTTTCCTAGGTCAAGGGTTTACAGTGAATATTCAGACATTTGTAATGGTTGAAAGCCTTACAGCTGATCTCTATTTGGTAAATGGGTTTTGTTGGTAAGACTTTATCCCCTATCACTCATCTCCTCCACTGTAGTGTCTTGTCATCTCCCTGGCATGCTCCTCTGATCTAGCCTTCTCATGTTATTCCCTGATTTATTTTATTGACATACTCCTTTCATTCTTCTGTCATAGTACTGTATACTGTATTCTCATATTCTTGTCATCCATTGTGCATCATTGCCATACCGTTGTCATTCCTTTTCCATATATCACTGATGATCTCTCTGTGACTCCCCCAATCGCACACTACAGTATAGTACTTACAAAATATCTTGTCACCGCAGATGTACTTTTTGATCTTACAGTAGTTTTTATTTTTCACTCTTATAGCTGAGCCTTTTTCCTGTATGATGATGGATGGTGTGAATCAAGAGCAATGCAGAGTAGTTCTCTATTCATTGTAAAATAGAAATTAGTGAATTTTTTTTGTACTCCCTCTTACCTATTGCTTGTTAGATATAAATTCAGTAAATTCATCATGCAAATTTGCTATTGACTCAGCATGTATATTGTATAGACATTGTAGATATACTTGCATATATACAATGTACATAGACATTACAGGTACAGGTATATAATCAGTGTGGGTGTACACTTGGTAAAAACTATACAATTATTGTGCAAAACAAAATGACACCACAAACAAATATTTCTGGTAAAGGCCGATGAGGCATACTGTTATTCACCAATCATTTTGCAATGTACTAATTTTATATTTCAAATGAAATCACTAAATTAGGCCTACCATAATAGGAAGGAAATGTCTCGCAATAATGCTTACCAACCTTACCGAGACGACAGGATTGTTCAGTTCCAAATTCATCGGACCCTTCCTGAAAGATGCGTTTTTATCAAGTGTACATACAATGTGGTGTGATAAATATGTAATTAGGCAAAAGAATGAAGGTATTAATTGTAGCAGTGTCCCCTTTTAAGTTTTCTTTAATCCTTATGTTTTTGTTTTGTTTTTTCTTCCAGAAAAAGGTTTAGACCATGTAGCAGAAAAAATATTAGGTTATTTAGATGCCAAATCACTACGGGAAGCAGAGTTAGTATGTAAAGAATGGCATCGTGTAATTGCTGACGGCCTCCTATGGAAGAAACTAATAGAAAGAAAAGTACGCACAGATCCTCTATGGAGAGGGCTGTCAGAAAGAAAGGGATGGTATGTATTTTGCAGTAACCACATTTTGAAAATCCATTAAAGTCTTGTTGTGTATAACTAACTACATTATGTATTATATGATATGAACGTTTTGTTTGAAATATCGTTATGTATTATCTCATTAACTTTTAAAGTGCTTGTTACAACATGTTGTAGTTTAATCAATTGCCAAGTAGTTGGCTGCTCTCTAACTTTAAAATTTTCAACATTGGCAAGTGGTTGGCTGCTCTTCATTATTAAAGTTGGCAACACATCTTCAAAAATATACATTCCATTTCTTTCTCAAATTGCTTGGCACTGGTAAAAATGTCAGTGTCTTCATTTCTCTACTCCTTCGGTGCCCTATATTGTTTTAACAGTATTGTGTACTATGGTTGAAATTGTGCCTAGATATGGTTTTTACCATGTGGATTGTTTCCCATACAAAACGCCCCCCAAAATTTTTGTTTCTCTGGCTTGTACCTCACCTGCTTAGCGTTGCTACTAATACCCCGTTATACCATCTGAGTGTGGTCATTTAACTTTCTTGTCAAGGTAAACAATTCATCAAGATTAGTCGTACATAATTTATGTATGCTCCCTCCCTACACACACACATGTTCACAGTCTTGTAAGCCCTTTCCCACTTTGGCATTTGGTGGCCAGAACCAAGAGCAGTCTCTCCCTCATTCATGTAGCTGCTGTTTCAGATTTTTTCTTTTAATTCTGTTATTTTGGTACTTCCTCAGGGGTATGTATCTGTTCAAGCCAAGGCCGGGAGAGCAGCATCCAGGGCACTCTTATTATCGCAAGCTTTATCCTAAGATTATCCAGGTGAGTCGAGATGATAGGGTTATTAAATGCAAATTTTTTTGTCATTTACAGCATGTTGAAAATACTGTAGCTACTCTGTTAATAAGTCAGCAGTAATGGTGGCTTTTATGTCACACTCTAGTTTGTAAGTTGAAGTACAGTATTATCACTAAATACTGTTGTCTTACCTCTTCTCAAGAAATGTGATTTATCCCTTGTACTCCTCTGTTCTAATATTCAACACTCCAATCTTCTTTCATCATCAAAGTTTTCTGTGCATCATTTATGTGTGTATATCTTCTCAGCCAGATTTTTCACCTTGCTTCAAGTAATATTCCCCCTTAACTAAATGTGTTGCTACTTAAAATTATTCTTCAAGAAATGTACTAACATTTCAAGTTACAATAGTCTTCAAGAACTGTGTATCGCCATTTTCATGTACAGTACTGTACTGTAGTTTTTACAAAATATGATGGGTTGTTATTTTTGTGAGTTGGGCTAATTAATACTTGTCACCAATTTATTCACACACATGCAAAGAGAGTTAGAGTGAGTAGAGAAAATATTGTCTCTGTCAGAAAGCAGGATATTCACACATAAAATATTTTAACTGTACTCAAGTGTTCTCATCATAAAAATACCATTTAACATAGGGAATGGAATTAGGGGAAAACAGTTGCAAGGCCTCTGTCGCACACAAGCTAATTAACGCAATTAACAAAATTAATTTTAGTGATATCTCAATTACAGTAGTACCCCGATTTACGCGGTCAATTGAACCCATGGGGTACCGCGGAAAGTGAGCAACAGAACATATGGGATAAATTCCAATAGAGACTGGCCCGACCCCCAAACTCCACTTTTTCAGACACAATACCTACGTTGTAGTAAAAATAACATCTTAATTTTATGATGGTATGCACACACAATTAATAATTAAGAGAAATATCAATAATATTAGTTTTTTTAACACTTACATTAGTAGAAAAGATGGCTGGGCACACGGGGATGGGGGGTTGGTTCCGAGGCAGAGGGCAGATTATTGGCCCTCACCTGTATCACTTGTATCAATTGTATCACTATCCACCACATGGGCTTGCAGGGCCTCTTTGTCAAACCCCTCAAAGTCCATATAAGTCCATATCCTCACTATCACTGACTTGGGCTGGCTGTGGTGGGTAGCGGGTGAAGAACTCGGTAATGTTTTGATGACTGGGCGACTTTGTGCGCATCCTGCCCACGTCGCTTCCCGCGTATATGAGTAGATGCACCGCGTAAAGTGAAAGTCCGGTTCTGGCGAGGTACCGCGTAAATGCGAAATCGCGGAAAGTGAAACTGCGTAAAGCGGGGTATTACTGTAGTCGGAATTTTTAGTGCAGAGCACTTCCAGGAATGAGATATTTCCGGGTAACAAGGCGACTATCATATCTATGAAAATCACCCATTCCCAGAATTTTTCTGGGTACTGAAAAAAGTTTTTCTGCATTTTCTGGAAATTGCACCTTATACATTATCATCTTTCAAACCTGGAAAACATTTTCCATCCCTGAAATTTTTCTGGCTACTGGAATTTTCTAGGATTTTTCCAGAATGACGCATTATTTTATCTCTTCCACCCGGGAAAAATTCCCCGTCTCCAGAATTTTTCCTGGTACCAGGAATATTTTCTCGTAATTTTCCAGAAAATGCGCCCCTCGGAAAATCGTTCCCAAGCCCAGAATTTTCTTGAAAATTCCGACCAAATTTCAATTCCAGCTAACGGAGATATTATTTATTGGTTTCTTGGGTGATTTTTGTCTTTTTAAGTGCACGAGGGATTTTTTATTTTTAATGAAGCTTGGTCACCCGTTTAATCTTCATTATAATATTCTTTCTTGCAGGATATTCAAACTATAGAAGCCAACTGGAGAATGGGTAGACATAATTTACAAAGGATAAATTGCCGTTCAGAAAACTCTAAAGGTGTCTACTGCTTACAATATGATGATCAGGTATGTTTCAATTATTTTACTGGCACAAAAGTGATGGTTTATTATATACTGTCCTTGGACATTTGTAAACTACTTTTTTCACATTTAATACTGGCAGAATATTTTCCAATTAGATAATCCTATTTTGTGTTCAGTACTCTTTGTTGATATGAGGGAATAAATATTTTATTCACCATGGACAGTATTTATTAGTGCTGGAGTTAAATAGTTACCACTCTTCACCCTTTTGCCTATGTACAGTATAGCTCTAATAAGACTTGTTGGGTTAGGTTAAATTTCTTAAAATAATATAAATAAGTAATGCTTCATTTCGGTCACAATTTAGGATGAGATGAAGTGAAACAAATTAGGTTTGGTTAAGAACAAGGCTTATCTTTATAATGTTTTCTGGGTTAGTTACAGCAGATATAAATGATCACTATATAGTGTAAAATCAGTGTGTTAATATTGTTTTATAAATGTTATGAGACAAAAATAATTTAGGGGATAGACTTAAATTTGGACATTTGTCAGACAATAAAACTGAATTTCTATAAGTACCTGTACTGTACAGCCAATCCAAAAATAGTAAAGGTGCCCCTGACGTCCAAAATTCTCCCTTGTTTTCTATTCCACGGGGCCCTGGGGTCTCTATACTTTTGGGATTAGCTGTATAGTGATTTCCATTACTTGCATAGGTTTATCTTTTATGAGTAGTGTACAATGAAAGACAAGTCGTGTTGTGAAATTTGGTGAAAACATATTCCGAAGGGCTAAAACTTTTGGTGCGCTCTTCCTTGTGGTATGGCTCTCATATTGTTTCATGAGTTTTATTTAATCTTCGGGCAAAACCGCGACGCGACTTTTGTCTTTGATTGTACATAAGGCTATTTTTAGCATTCATGACACATACATTATAATTATATGATCAACCTTCACGGGAAGAAATAAGAATAGAATGTGGATGAGTCAGATGTATAAATCATTTCGAGTCCTGTCTTTGGATGCTCATAGCCATGTCTTAATTCATTTTAGTTATCACAATATTCAACACAGATGCCTCTCTTGTTTTGACAAGTCTGGCTGAAGTTGAATTAAGCAGATTTGTATGTGATGTGTTTTAAGTGCTGTACAGGTTACTTTACATTTTTTTTAGAATTTCCTTTATTTGATTTCTTCCAGAAAATTGTATCAGGCCTTCGAGACAACACAATCAAAATTTGGGACCGTACCTCACTCCAGTGTTACAAGGTACGAGGGGTACGTCGGATCTTCCTTAGTATTTTTTTTTAGTTGTAATTGGGTCAAATTAACTTTAATAAATTTAAGATTTTAAACTTAACAAGTAATCTTCCATTATTTTAAAGAATCACATATTAATTATATCTACTCAGAATTTATTTTAGAAGTGAAATGAACTTCTTGTGCTTTGAAAGTTTTAATTATATTCTTTACTCTCATGCCAGGGTGTTTGTTTTGATTCAGACACTGACTTGTGAGCCAGTTCAGATTGGTCCTGGAACTAAAACTTTCTTTAACTAATGATTCATATCACTTAACTGTAGACATTCCAATATGTAATAATTTTATCACAGTCACTGTTGTGTGTCCTATTTGTTAAATCACTTAACCCTTTAAGACGAGTCAAGAAAAAATATATTACAATACGTACAGTATTACTTTTATACACCAATGTGATACATCCTCTTGCTGTGTGTCGGAACACAGTTGATACATCCCATAGTTAAAGTGTTAAACCCTAAACTCTCTATAGCCTGTTTGTGTCGTGTGGCTGAATATTTAGCAAAAACCCTGTATGTCGTAAGAGCAAGTTTTCACCTTTAAAATTTTTTGGGCAAATTTGAATTATCATCTTTGATTATGAAGCAAAGAGAAGTCTTGTTTCACTTTCATAAAATAGTACTGGAAGATGAATGCCATTATCTAGTTTTAGTTGTTTGTGATATATGGAGCATGCATTTATTCCATATACTGTAGTTGGGAACAGAGAATAACATTGGTAAATTGTTATGAAGATTTGTATTTGCAGTTTTAAGTTATATCAGCAGCTCAGTGCATGTTTTTATTGACTCACTCACTCACTGATGGAGAGAAATTGTCCCTTCTCACTCACTGATGGAGAGAAATTGTCTCCTCTCACTCAGTGAAAGAGAAAAGTTGTCGTTCTCTTATTCATCAAAAATAAATAAATAAATGCTGGTGCAGTGTGCATATAACTAATACTGTTACTTATTTCCTAGCTATTACCAAATTAATTTATTGTATATTCATCCTGCCAAGGGATAACAGTAGTGAATTGGTTAAGTGGCTGATATGCAGACACTTTTAAAGAAAAACTGAAGCCAAAATGAATCATTAATTGCTTTTTATCCTTCCATTTGTATTTTTAAATTTACCATATCACTACAGTTGTACCTTAGTTACCACCAAATTTCATTTGTAATATTAATTCACCTTTCTTGCAGTATTTAAGTAAGAGTACCCACTATTTAAGCAAAGGTTTTACATTCAAAGAAAGTGGGTATTCTGTCTGGTGTTGATTCACATGAAGAGGAATTGGAAGCAGGTCGTCAAATCAAGTGTACGAGTTGAGGATATGTTCAATCATGTTTGGGTATTTCTACTTGTTGTGTGAGCTCTGGCCTCTCACTTTCTGCACTTCGTCATGTACGGTACTGCACTCTTATCTTTGTTTCCTCCATTCTCTGAGGTTTCTGTACCCCATAATCCATCCTGCACAAAACTGAGAAGAAGAATTAAGATCAGATATATGTGATGATTAATAGTGTGAAAGTTTGGGGTAAATGAAATACTGTATTGCAAGGAATATGCTTTGAAGTTGCCAAGGTATATCCAGTTAAAGGCAGATAGTTATATCTCTGTTAGCCGGAATAATTGTTACAGAGCACTTCCGGGAATGAGAGATTTCCAGGTAACGAAACAACTCTTATCAAACCCGGAAAAAAAATTCCATATTCCCAGAATTTTTCCAGGTACTGTACTGGAAAAATTTATCTCTGAATTTTCATCTCTCAAACCCGGAAAAGAAATTCCCCATCCCCGTAATTTTCCAGGAACCGGGAAAATTTTCTCTGAATTCTGCAGAAAATGTGCCCCTCGGATTATCATTCCCAAACCCAGAATTTTCCTGAAAATTCCAAGCAATTATCAGTTCCTGTTGAGACAGATTCCAGCTAACAGAGATATTACAACATCATTACACACTTTCTCTTGAAACTCTACACCTATATTGTACACGGTAAGCTTGTGAACTTTAAGAATGCAGGGTAAATCTTATTTAATCCTCCACAAATTACATGAGAGTAAATGAAGAAAAATTGGACAATGAGGCAACTGGCTTGGTGACTGTGGTGGTGTGAGGGATGTGTCACTTGTCTTTATGAGAGTTTTAGTAAGTTATTTTGTGATTGTGGGAATATAATGACACATGAAAGCTTATTGTAGATTTAATAATGGCTGCGAATCACCAAATCCGCGAATAACATTTGGGGGGGGGGGTTACTTGTGTACAAAGAAATGTATATACCCTCTATGTGTTTGTCTTTAGGACAATTATTTATTTACCTGAAGTATTGTATATGTGTGTGTGTGTGTAGACACACACAAACACACACTATAAGAACAGCCCAGTCCTAACCATTGTAAAAATTATCAACAACGCGTAATCAACCAGTGTATGTATTCACTCCCAGAAAATCTTACCTTTTTGCACTGTCACTATGTTGAAATGCCCTGTAGTATTTCCTTCCCTTTCTTCTTAATGTAACGGACAGTTGATTCGTTGATGCCGTACTCCCAGCCACACGCGGCAAACCTTTGGCCACTCCTAAATTTGTCCAGCAGTTGTATCTTCTCCACTAGGGTCATGACCTTCTTTTCTCTCTTCACTTGTTTGGGCGCCTTCCCACAGCTGGATGAAGGTGGTTGAGGGCATTTAGGAGCCATCACAAGCACAAGGAGCACAGTTGTTACGAGAGCAGAGTAGCACACGTGTGAGACGGACAAGTGTTTATCCCGGACTGAGGCGGAGGGAGCGGGGCGCGCATGGGCCAGCCTCGCGGGACAAGAGAGACCCCTTGCGGGACACCACAAAACTCTCGTGTTTCCCGTACTGGCTGCGAAAATGCCGGCAACTTTAAAACTACCCGCAGACATTCTTGGGTGCATCTAGGGTGTCATCTGCAAATAATAGAGGACCACAAATTATCTGGGCATGCTGTACTGTACTTGTAAATCAGGGTCTGCCTGTATTTAGGGTATTGTAATTGTACTTTTTTATCTGTCCATTGCTCTTTCAGTAATCTGTTAATTGTTTATTTATTTTTTATTCTGTACAGTTCATATACTATATACATGTAATGACAGTTTTTATGTACAGTAGCCTTGTGATATTTTGAGCTACTGTACAACATTTTTATTTTAATATAGTACTAGCTGAGTTGCCCAGCTTTGCCTTGGTGGAGGGATAGGAGGTAGTCTACAATCATCCCAAGGCCACCTGCACATCCCTACCAATTTTCAGCTCATATCTTCAAAAAGTGGAAATGCATAAGAAAGATAGATTCATGTATTTTATATACTGTACAGTACAGAACCTGTATATACTATATACAGTAGATTCCTTACAACTCATGGTATGTTAAAAAAAAATCTCATAAGATTTTCAGTTTGGTTCAATATACTGCAGTCTGTTTTGGTGACTAGGAAGTGATTTTGCTATGTTTTTGTGACTGTAAACTACATTGTCTCATGTTGTCAACATGTAAGCAATGGGCCACTATCATTGTTTTTGTTTTCTGATAAGTTCTTTTGCTCTGTTTTTGTGACTCAAGTGAGCAGTGTTCTTAATGATTGTGGTGAGTGTTGTTCTACAGTACAGTACAGGTATATATATTATTAGTGTAGGATTTTTATTTTTTATTTTTTTCTTCCGTGATATATCTAGGTGTTGGACTGGCTAGGAACATCTCCCATTGAACCTCAAGTTATGATTATCCTGATCTATGATATTTGACATAGTGATGGGTTTTTCAAGAACCTAACCCCATTGTAAATGGGATACCTGTAATCAATCAGAAAATCCAGCAAATTAGAAATCTGGCAAGGCTTATGTCTCAAACATCCCAGATTATTGAGGTTACACTTGTACTTAAAAACTGCAAATTCTGTCCTTAGAATAATGTGGAAAACATAAAAACTTATAAAAAAAAGTTGATTATAGACATGCCAGGTGTTGCTGTCATTTTTCTCCCATTTTCATACTTTATGTTTAGCAAATTGTTTCTAAGTTATAACCAGCATGAAATACTTAGGGTTTCAGTGAGGGAGGGAGCTTTTGGGAAGTGGCTTTGCTCAGAAGACCAGAAAATTTACGAATCCACATACTTTCGGTTTCAATTGTTCTGAATTTCCAATTATCTTCATCACTGTTTATGGCCCTTTAGGTCAGGTTGATGACATCAAATGAAAAAGAAAATCTTTGTTCGTGATACCAGCCACCATACTGCTTAGAGAAAAATGGCATGCAAGATGGGTGAAAGTCTCTACAGCTTTCTTACTAAAGTGGGTTTGATCAAAGGATACACGAACCTCAACACAAGGGAGGGGTGAATGATAAGGTAGTGTAGTGCAAGGAAGTGTCAAAGGATGGTTGAAACTAGTACTGTAGCACCCACATGCTTCACTTCCATATACAGTATGCTCAATTTACCTATACAGTCAGCAGAGAACCACCAGTAGAGGGAAAAGGCACCTAGCCTCCATTAATGGTTCCATAGATGATAAACACCAACTGTCTTTTGATACAACTGTCACTGATGCAGAAGGTCTGAACAAACTGCTTCTATGAAAATTATATAACAAGCATAGGCAACCACTGCTGTTGTCACAGACAAAGTGTGGAGTATAATCCTTGAATCACATGTGGATAACTTGCTTGTAATGACCTAGTGAATGTAATTAAATCTATACAACATGATAATTCTAGCTACATTATTCTTGGTGCAGCTGAAAGTGTTCCAAATGTATCCTGAACTTAGACTTTATGCCTAGCAATAGTAACCTATGCATTAATGTCTTTTTCAGGTGTTGACGGGGCACACGGGATCAGTTCTATGTTTGCAGTACGACGAGCGTGTAATTATCAGTGGGTCTTCAGATTCAACAGTCAGAGTGTGGGATGTCAATACCGGAGACATGGCCAATACGCTTATCCACCACTGCGAGGCGGTTCTTCACTTACGCTTCAACAATGGAATGATGGTTACTTGTTCTAAGGTAAGTTGATGTCACAAGAGCACAACCCGACCATGATGACTTATTGTGTTCCAAAATATTTCTCATACAGTAGCTTGTATTGAATTGTTTGTCTGTCTGTCTTATAGATGATTTGATTTTGTCATCAGAAACTTTCAGTATTTGTTTGGAGGTCCAATGGCTCCTGTACACGCACTTAAATTTCAGAAACACAATTTTTATTCAATATAGATACATGAATGTGGTTATTATTTTCAGTTTGTCATCATATAAATAAACATCACCATATTGTACTTGGAGTTGCCATTATTTTGTGTATGGCTTTGATGTTTTTCTTCTTCACCTGTTTATCTCAATCCATAAAGCTTTGATTTTACTTCTCACTTTTTCTCCCATCACATTGTCTCTCTCGGTATCTCACCTCCCATTTCTCTCACACACTGCCCTACCCCTCATTTCTCTCTCTCTCTCTATTAATTGCCTTATCCTAACTCTTCTTTCTCTCACACTTTATCTTTCCTCCCAGTTTTCTCTCACTAACTTTACCCTACTTAATTGTTCCCTCTTACCTTAACCCGCTTCTCATTTGTCCACCATTATTTATTTTACACACAACTCCTTTCTCATGATTAATCCTTGTGACCTCCCCTCCTGATCCCCCTCCACCCTTTTTTGTTTTTATTTTATTCCTTCATTCCTACCATTCTTTCTATATCTGCCTCTAATAATTTTTTTGTGTTTTGCTTCACAGGATAGATCTATTGCTGTTTGGGACATGGTCTCCCCAACTGAAATTAATCTAAGACGTGTTCTGGTTGGTCACAGAGCAGCTGTAAATGTTGTTGATTTTGATGAGAAATATATTGTTAGTGCATCTGGTGACAGAACGATAAAGGTGGGTACTAATTTTTTTATATTTAATGGATATCTGTTGCTTTGTGGAGTGATGATAGTATAGCATGTTCTCTTTTTCTAACATCTTGGTTTCTGCCTGACAGTTTATACTACACACCACACCTTCACCAAACTATATTGAGGAGTCACCCTTAGGATAGATAGATTGATTTTTGGATCTAAAGATAAAAAATGAGGTCAGTGTTATTTGCCATTTACAGTATATTACTGGTGCTTGTGTCTTCATCATGCAGTCACAGCTGGATGGAGAATACTCGTATATTAGAATGCAGCACTTATACAGCATAGTTTTATACAAGAGTCAGTAGTCTTCATTTCCCGGATTTATTACCCTTAGGCCCCGGGTGACGTTCCAGAACATCCTCCTATTTTCCCCCTTTTTTTTTTTTTTTTTTTTTTCTAAACCCTGCATGGGGGGTACTGCCAGCAGCACCCTAACCCGGGGCTTAAGGGTTAATTGATTTTGTATACTGTAGATAAAGATATTTTTCAAAATACAAAGAAGCAGTGTAGTCAGCGCTGAACTTAACTGTCTTTGCTTCCCCAACTGTTAAGTTAGATACCCAATTACAGCTAGTTTAATTTGGGATACCCCTGACCTGAACCAACAACTGTAAGGGAGACGAGTGCAGTATCTACTCACCTGCTCAGGATATAAAAATTTTTATGTTAGTACATCTTAGACCTTTACTGTTACTGTCTTCCCTCACACCATATTATCTTCTTATATCTCTCTGTGTTCCTTGGTCTGCCCAACACAAAAGTGGATGAGTGTATAAAGTAAACCCTAACACATCAGAATGTTTGTACTCTGACAAATTAAAAAAATCAACACAATTTTATATATATATATTTATATATGCAAGTAAATCACTGTAGGTGCGCTTGATCTAGGTATATGCTGATAACCACAAGGAAAGAAGAAAACACGAAGTTCCCAAGCGCTTTCGTGTTGTACAGTATTTTATGAGATAAACATATTGAAAAAACTGTAGATTGTTATTAAATTTGTTCTTTTGTCCAAATCAGTAAACTAAGCAAAGTGTATGACACCATTACATCATTAATTGTGCCTGATGCTTTATTTATCAAGGTAGGCTTGTAATCTTTGGTTACCTTAGGGAGGTGGGATTCTGCCTTGTCAGCTAAGCAGCAGGTTAGAAGGCCTACATATATTGTCCAGGTCTCACTCTGTAGAATTGGGTTGGGGATAAGAAAGGCATGCTTTTTTGTGCTTTCATCTTTTGAGTCACTGTATTTCTATATTAATTTTCTCTTTATAAATAACTTCTTGAATTGAGACTACTTCTGCTTACCACTAACACATGTTGATTATAATCTGTATATACACCCATGCACATCCATTTACCCATCTACAGACTGACAAAACCCCCATCATAGTCTACTGTATTACCCACCACTTCACACTCCTCAATTTATCACTAAAGGTTATTTAATACACTCTGCAGGTATGGAGCACAGGGACGTGTGAATTTGTTCGGACGCTAAATGGACATAAAAGAGGTATTGCGTGTCTTCAGTATCGAGATAGACTAGTGGTCAGTGGTTCTTCTGATAACACTATAAGGTAGGTGGAACTCTTATGTGAGTAGAGTTCCATATTAATTATGACATTTGTAATATGTATAGTATACAGTACATGTTTTGTTAATTCTTGTTTAGTGGTCTCATCCTGTTATTAAACCTGTACTTTATATTACTTTTGCATCCTTTTGTAATCTCTAATCCTGTTATATGTTGGTATTGAATCAAAAGTTTCTGTTTATCAACCTCATTTTCCCCCAAGTGTGTGTATGAATTCATGCTCAAGATGTTATTTGGTAAGACAAATTTCTTTCTGCACAAACATCAATAAAAAATTCCACTTGCATGTGTGCCCTCTGCCCCTCCCCCTAACCCAGTATTTTCCTATGATATTCACCTTACACTCATTCACTACATTTGCATTCATATTACCTAATGTTTGTTTTACTATTTCTCTTTAGTCTCTTTCCATTGCCATAAGTTATAAACAATCTTCTCCAGGTTATGGGACATAGAATGTGGAGCGTGTTTGCGAATACTTGAAGGACATGAAGAACTGGTCCGCTGCATTAGATTCGACAACAAGAGGATAGTGTCTGGCGCTTATGATGGGTAAGTATCACATTAAGGGTATTGTGAATATCTCAGTGTATTTTATTTGTTTTTCTACCTTTTTTTTTCAATGAATATGGAAGGGATAGGTGAATGCATATCCAGTAAACAGTGGAGGAATTTAAAGAATTAAAATTTAAGATTATGGATACGGGAGTTAAAAAGGAAGAAAGGAGGGAAGACTTTGCAAATAGGATGAATGATAAAAATCCCAAGGTATACAAATAAAGGTCACACACACCCAAAATGATACGAGTTAAATATACAAACAACAATACTGTGTCTGCGGAATTCAAACCCATACCACTCAGCGGAATTTAAATCCTTAGAAAGGGACTTTTTTTGGTGTCCGTGGATATTTACAAAGGTGGAATTATGAAGATGTGCTTAAAATAGATAACCAGGAGGCATGGACGAATTGGTAAAGGAGTTGGTTTATAGTAGAGTGGATATGTGCCAAAGATGCAGTCATTCCATCGTATATATGAAAAGAGTAAAAATAAGCATTTGAGTCACAGAGGAATCAGTTTTCTGTTTCATATTATACAGTAGGTGTGGTTGGGTTTTATTTTGTTAAATGTGTAGTGTTAAGTTAGGATATAATTAGTGCATATGACTGGTGTGTGTGTAGTGTGTCTTAGTTGGTGTTAGCATTTTTCCTTAAGCTAGGGTGGATAATTTGTCCTTTTTTGAACTATATGGGCAACTGTTATGCTACAGATACAGAGGCACAGTCTTGCAAAATATGAGTGAAAAGCAACAACAATTTTATTTATTTTTTTAATCTTAGGGATACAGCTACTTAGAATGGAATTTAGGAAAACAAATTTCTTATCACTGACGAAACATGTGCCTCACTTTACACTGTGATTACTTGAATAGAGGCCAGAAACTTGAATTATACTACAGGTAGTATAAATTATCTGTTTATAATTAATGGGTTCATATTGGGATTATTATGCTCTAATGGGAGGCAAATATTGATTTTGACAGAAAGGCTGAATCCCAGCTGTAATGATTAGGGTAAGTTATGTTATGGTAAGGCCTATTAGGACGGGCCCATTTGACCATTCACCTTGGTGTTATACTGTGTGTAATATTGCCAAAGTCTGCTAAGGGTAAACCTTTATGCTCTATATATCTTTATTTCTAGGTTTGATGACTGCTTTTTGGTGGGGCTGGTTAATTAGATAATAAAGAATTGTGTATCTACTCATTTGTTTAGAATTTTAAAATATGGTTCCATAAATACATAAAGCTCATGCATCTACATTATCATCCTACACAACAGGAAAATCAAGGTATGGGATCTTCAAGCTGCCCTCGACCCGCGTGCTGCTGCCGGCACCCTCTGTCTGCGAACTTTAGTGGTAAGTCCTTGTTGTACCTTATCACACTATGTGATTATTTCTCACTTACTCTCCATAATATCCTATATAGATATGTGTGAAAACTTGAAACCTTTTTTTTTTTTTGTTAAAGTTAACAGTTAATTCTGTGGGCTGTATATAGGTAATGTAATATACTTTGTTGTCACTAATGTTGAGCTGTTATCACTCATGGCCATAAAGCATAAGAGGAAAGTAAACCTAAGCCGAGGATTTCCTCTGCCAGCCCACAAAATTAGTATGTGTAGTCTGTCATTATTAATTTGACCCTGTATGCTCCCTTCAATCACTCACTGTAATTTTTAGAAGTTGAAGAAGTTTTGGAAAATAAACAGTACTAAAGTCCATGGGATGTATTACTTGCATATATGATGGAGAAATTCAAGTCAGGCTAATGGTGGCAAACTGCAGCAGTGTTGTAAAAAAAAAGGCTACAATTCCCTACAAGTCTTGTACATTTACTTGCAGGGGGTAGGTGGGTGTATCTGAGCTTGATGTGAAATGTTTCTCATCAAGGCAACAGGGTGTCACGACAGCCTTAAGGTCGATATATTTCCTCTTTATTCGGTTTAGCTTCCTTGCCTCTTTCAAGATATAAATAAAAAAGCTTTGGGTTGTGGTATTTTGAGCTAGGCTTTTAGACTCATTGCTTCATTAAGCTATCTTATTTTATTTTTTTCAAGCAGATATCAAGTATTCAATAAGTTTTTTTTACACTTCTTGCTGTGACTTCTAAAATAAGGTACCTCTTATTGATTTCAGTTGTATTTTGTGTAGGAATCACAGTTTATCTTTGTGCCTAAAAATGCTTATGGTTATACTAGAATACTGTTACTGTAGTTATTATTAAGACATTTAAAGTTGCAGTTCTACAATACTTAAGTTTATTGTCACTCTGTACATAATTGATAATCCTAAGAAATGTATGATTATGAGTGTGAATGTATCTGTTTGTTTGTTTGTTTTTTCAGTGTGGTGTGTTTTTTTTGTGTTTTTTGTTTTTTCAGGGGGTGGTAAAGAAAGGGTGATTGAGTGAGGAGTGAGTGTAAAAAAGGGAGGGAAACTATGGTTGTCTGTTTGTGTGTGCGTGTGTGTGCGCATGCTTTTTGTAAATGTGTGCCTGAGTTGATGTGTTTTTAGGGTTTTTTTGTTCAGTGAAATCATCAACATATTATCCTATACACTTGATCATAATTACTGAAATTAATCAGCACATATATACTGTATTTTAGAGGTTTGATTAGAGCTTTAGTTGTATTAACTCTCCTCACATTATCGCCTATGTTATTTCTCTACCCCCTTTCTAGGAGCATTCTGGACGAGTGTTCCGCTTGCAGTTTGACGAGTTCCAGATAGTGTCGTCTTCTCACGATGACACAATACTCATCTGGGATTTCCTTAATTGCTCCCCGCCAGAATCTTCTGGGCCTCCTGGTGGGCGGGGCTGCTCACCCACAGTAGAAACAAGGTGATTATGTCTGGGATTAAAGGTTGTACACATACATTCATATGTAGGGTAGTTGGTTCATGCTAATAGTGTTATGAAAATAGTGAATAGAAATATTAATGTAATTTAAATCTGGTGAGCCGTGAATTGAAGATGAAGGTTACCTTGATTGTAATAGTTTTAACACTACTTTATACAAATTATAGCTGCACCTTTGGGAAGAGCTTTTTGAGTTTTTGTGTTTTAATTCACATTTATGTCATAAAAATTTTTTTACATACACAGCATGTGGCACTAGTATTACTTTTAATGGTTTTAAAAAATAATTAATGAATAATATTTTTTTATATGTTAGATAATTTAAAGTAATATTTTGGGGTCCATTGTTTGTCATTTTCAATGGTAATATGTCATATGTAATCTCTTATACCAAAGTGAATTTTCTGATAATACAAAGATTAAATCAGTATAGGTGAAATTTCACCAGAGTTTAGTTCCAGATTTTGTAACTAACAAATGTATCTTTATTTTATTTTATTTTTTTCAGTTTCTTTCATATTTCAATTAACCTATTTCAAAATCATTCCATTCCTTATAGAGTACAAAGTTCCAAATCTGGAAACCCACAAACTGGCATGTACCAAATACTGTAAATTTTAGAAATGTCCATAAAAAAAGATTCCAAATCTGCACTAAAAGAAAGAAGATGAATCACGCTTCGTTTATGAGTTATGTTGTAACTTCTTGGTCAGTCATCAGGAAGACTCAGCAGTGTTCAGTCGAGTTTGGTGTATTTGTTTACCTTTGATATACTTGTAAAAAAGGCCAGGTTTTTGCAATGTGAATACGGTTAACAAAAAAAATTTAAATGCCTGTAACAGCCTAAATTAGATAATTCTCTAGTAATAGTTTACTGGTTGATTTTTTAAATTACCATCGACTGCAAATATTTCATACTCATGTGTGTTGGTTTTAGTAGATCGTTATCTTCAAGACATACTCTAGATAGTATTGTTTAGTCCCTGTATAGTAATGGCTACTTAAAATTATTCTATAACTATTAGCACTACTAATCATTAATATTAATCTGCACAGTTTTAATATCACGACTGTATTTACCCATTTCTTATTGCGTAAGTTAAGAACACGTATTAAAATTTTTATGTATTTTATTTTCAGCTAATGCAATGGAGACATAGTACAGATAGCTTGATTTGTGTTTCACTGAAAAAGTCTTCAGATTGTTTGCTATCCATGGACAGGAGCTAAAGAGTTCCATGTCTAGGGTACCTCTGCAGCTGCGACTAAGACTTGAGTGATGGAAACTCAAGCACTACAAAAGAAACTTTATATACGAGTGCCAGTGTATAATGTTTGTCGTCGAGCACACCGACTTGTACACTAAATGCACTGGATTTGCAAGTGTCAAGCGCAAATACGACACCTCTGCCCCCTGGCCCGTCCATACTTCTGTGGTGTGATAGGCAGACTAGATCACATTGGTGCATAGCCAGACAAGAATTAGTGTACCAATTCATGTAACACTTCTAGTGCCCTTTACCTTCACTGCAACTCAAAGCTTTAGTTAAATCATAACAGTGAAATAAATCTGAATTTACGGTCTTAATATGACCTTTTGTGAGGAAACTATATCAAATATATATAAGGCCATATTGGGCTGCAGAAAACTGTTGGTGAACCTTGCCCAGTACAGTATAATGGGCAGTACTCGTTCCAGTACACAGCCTTCTGTTTCTGATGAATTGTCTCACTTGATCCATAGACCACAGGCATTTGGTAATAAAAAGAAAATGGCAAACTCATCATTTCCGTATTATAATTCTAGTGTAATATGTGTCTACATTGGATGTGTGTGTTGACTAAGAAAAAAGAAATGCAAAAAATGTAATTGATCTCAAAAGTTCTGCTCACCTAGTGATGGTACTGCTGTAGCAGGAACAAAATTATTAAGAGAATAAATTTTTTAACTTTTGAGGGAGGTTTGTGCAGACAGTGTTAAGAGAAGGTCATTATTGGTGGTTGATGACAGTGCAAACTCATTGTTTGGCAATTGGCATTTTGTGCAATATTTCCAATACACCAAGTCCTGCTCATCAGGGAGGTTTTAAATGCCAGTTGTGGTAAAAAAATACTTAAAAGTTTATGTTTCAAGAGAGCATTTTTGGGCATCAAAATATTGTGTACATGGGTGAAACTTTACCAAAAAACAAAAAACAACAAAAAAATACCATGTCTTTATTCAATAGAATAGAGCTTTCCATTTCCAGATTTAGGCATTTTTATAAAAATGTATTGAAAAGTGACCTGCAGAATGCAGCCCAACACATGGAAATATATTCACAAAAGTCTTTTTCGTGTTTATTACACATTGCTGATAAAACTTCTTTGGGTTAGTGATAGACAAAAGACTCGAAGATGTGACATGGGGCAACTCCCAGTTTTTCTGACACCAAATGCGATCAGAGTCTGTTGCTTGCTTCTGAGCTTTGGGTCATGTCCAACGCTGACATTGTGTATATTTTATTCTCATTGCTAGGCTCTCACCCTCATTTTTATGGTGGAGAATGCATTATTCACCCCAATATATATGTATATATATAAATATATATATATGGAGAGAGAGTAAGTGAGTGGATGTGTGAAAGAATGGGTGAGTGCAAAGAGTGGTGGTGTACATGGGGCCAATTTGGTTGTTGACATCTTTCATTCCGATGCTTGCTGTTGTATATGGCATTTGTCTTAAAGTATCTTTTATTGATTTCATTAATTCACTTGATATGTTGATTATCATCTTGGTGAAGTTTTTGCCAAAGGTCTGGATATATAGTTGGTGTGAGTTTTTTTGCTGGGTGGCAACAGGCAGAATGTTCCTATGCAAACCTTTTTCTTCAATTGATTTTTTTTCCATATTCATTACACAGTGCTGTTTACTGTATCTCCACAGGTGAAGTTTATTGGGAAGATTTCATTTTCACTTTTGGGAATTTATGAAATTTTTTGTTAGTATTAAGTCCAATCAATTTGACCAATTGTTTGGCTGCACATAAAGGCTTGCTTAAGTGTGTCCAGTGAAACTATATTTATACAGAGGAACAGATATCTGTATGTAAAAAGAAGTTAATTATTTTGGTGATGTCCTTAGGGATTGTGCATGGATCATGAATTGGCTCTCTAGTACATTCAAGCATGTAACTGTACAAGGAAACTCGATTATGTTTTCTCACTGTTTACCCATTGATCTTAATTACCGTACATAAATCTCGGACAAACTATCTCACAAGTCTATCTTTCCCAGTGACTTTTAAAAATTGAGCAAATACAGTATTCAGTTTTATCATTCCCAGTAGAGTATATTCCTCTTTCTGCTTAAATTCTTGTGAAACTCATTCCTTCACCTCATTAAACACTACTTTTTGTGATGCCAAAGGTGGACACTTTGAATTGTTCTATACAATCCCTGTGTATTTAATTTGTTTTCATTTCATATGTATTATCAAAAACAGCAGATAAAACTGTATCCGCAAAACCTCACACACACACCGACAGTAAGAGTCTTCGACAAATATGAAAATCATAATTTTTTTAATTTGAAAAATTATTCCAGTTTGTAACATGAATGCCTTGTAGGTGAGAGGAGAAGTAATCTAATTTTTGACTAAGACATAAAGTATTATTCTTTCTGTCTTCTAAAACCATACTCACCTGTCAACCAAAATGAGTTCAATGCCACTTTTTTCCTATATTTCAGAAAATTCGTAATGAAATTCTCGTACATGTACATGATAATCCACTTTGGCAATCATAATTAGTTTCCTATATTTGTTCTTGCAAGACCTTTTCTGCTATTTGTACTCAGAATCAAGTGCAGCTCAGCTTTTTTACTTCACTCATCTAACAGTCTCAACAAAGCATCAAGGTATCTATCTATCTAGTTTACCTCTGTTACTTCATGCTTCATCCCAGCACCACATGTAAAGCTTAATTATGTGTTCTTTATAAGAAACCTGCTTGTACATTAAGGATTTTATTCATAGATGTGTATTTTTATTATTATTATTATTTTAATGTTACTTAGTTGTAGCTTGCTAAGAGGGATTTATTTTAAATTAAAATTTTGTTGAAGCTTTTATTGCTGAACGTATATTGATGTTAGTGTTTTTTGTTACGAGGGATTTTTGTATACAGTGTTACGGATGTTTCACAAGGAATCCACCCACCCACCTCATCTTGGTGTGGCAGACGTACGCTTTAAACACATGCATTCACGGGTGTGTGACAAATGGATCCAAAGATCTACAACTGGTAGGCAGTTGCACACCCCGATTGGAATATATTACCGACACGGGATAAGCTCGCTATTAAATTTCATCTGTCATGAATTGAAATTATCTCTATCACTTTTGTAATGCCGCACTTTGTTGCGGCTGTAGGAAAATTTTTCATATACAGTTGGTTATTATGCTGGGGTACTTGTTTTGTTGTTATATGAATATAATTACACTTTATACAGTACTTTCTAATTCACACACACAAGCACAAATACACACATTGTTTCTGTTGCATATGAGCGCCTGTAAGCTAATGTTTAATTTTCCCTTACTTTATGAACTACGTGATACAGAAACCAAAATTAGTGGCTTTATTATGAATATTTGAATATAAATCTTATGTCGTATTAATGAAGATGACCCGGTGCATCTAAAATTAAACTAATATTGACAAAAAAAAGTGCCATGAATGACTTTTGGGGGGACATGCTTTATTTATGGAGAACTAATTCGATCCTTGGTAGCTATATATGCAGTGAATAGAAGCACCTGAGTATCTCAAGTCTGTTGAAGAAAGCAGAAATTAAATCCCACATCAGCAGAATGAGGCTAGATATAATTTTAATTATTAGAGATGAATTTAACATTTTTGCCCCTCCTTATTGAAGGGTGGTCCTTGCAAAACTTCCTCCATGTGCCTGTACACAGATTACATTAGCTCTACACTTATTTTTTTTTTTAAGGCAGGTGAATTATTTCGTAGAACATTACTGTATATTCTTTTATTGGAAAGTTCAGTGTATGCCATCTTCAAGCCTGATAACTTGCAACAAAATGCTGATACTTGAGGGGCTTCTTTTCACATCACCTGCAGGGTCTATCATGTAATGGAAAGATTGATGATGAAAGACATGAAACTGTACTGTATATGTCTAAAGTTATAACTCTTCATTTTAAATGAGTTAAATGTTTATTAAGGGTAATTCTCTGCTGTAAGACTGCTGAATGAAACTTTTTTAATACTGCACTCATGAATATTACATAAACAAATGCTTTATATGAAAACATATGTACAGTGCAGTACTTAGTACTGTATCATTTCCCAGTGAAAAGTGTGAAGACATTCAAGGACTTGGTATTTGTATAATGATGATATCAGTGTGCTCACTTGCATACAATGGTGAAATAAAAGGTTGGTGAAGAGAAGGGTAATCCATAACTCAGAAGAACTATATGAATGTTTGCTTCATTACATGGATAAAAGAAGCTTGTGTATAGTGTAAATGCTGTCACAACAGTATGGATGTGAAATTGAGTAAGTCCAGTTTAATTCTTTTTAAATTGGAAGTGTGAGAAGATGTGTCAGTAATATGCCATGAAAAATAAGTTGCAACTGTTGAACTAGACAGACATTAACACCAGGCACTAAAAAATTGGGTTTGAATGAAGAAGTGATAGCAAGATAAAAGTGGGTGAGGTATTGTAAAAGTTGACTGGAAGGGGAGAGTAAAAAACATATAGTAACTGCATGTAAATGTACAGAGTCAAATGTTACGAGGAGAAGCATTAACCGGTGGCACCCCTCCCTCCCTGATATGTAAATTAACACATTTATATTGGATATATGTGCAGTATATGTAATATCACAGGTGTTAAAAGTCATTAAGAGGAGTAACAACTTTATGTATAAAAGCATCTCTAGAAAATGTAACACCACCATAATTTTTAGGATCCAGGGGTGATAAGAGCTATTTGGGAGGTGTATTATGCTCATTTCATGATTTCAACAATATAAGTTTTGTAATTAGCCTTTTCAAGAAGCTGGTGCCTCAGGTAGAAATTTTGATAAGCTGAATCACACATGGTCAAGGTTGTGGTGTAAAACAATCATGGTATGATTGTAACATTGCACAAATATTTCTCTACATGAATTTTTTTTAAAGATGGGGCATCTGGATATTGTGATGTGGTTTTCTTTCTTTTTTTTAACCATAATTTACCTCCAATAATTAAATCCTCTCTCATTGATTTTTTCTATGTCAGTAATGTTAGTCATAATAGTCTTTAAGTTTGATTTTAATGAAAATATTCAAGCCAATTAGTTTGTATGTAGAAAATGGATCATTGTCTGTTGTAGAATTTTAAAGTGATTTCCTCCTGGTGTGTTATTGTATAGACATTTGTATGTTGTGATTAATTTAGCAATTTTTAGGCTCATATACTCAGTGTCATGTTAAGAACTGTGTATACTGTACAAGGAGTTGGGCAATGCTCTATGACACATGCCTAAGGTTTATGCTATAGTGTGTTAACATGACAAAATAGCTGCTGCCTCCTTGCTGAAGTTGGGGAGAATATCTATATATAAAGGATGTTCATTTTTAATCCTTTGGGCTTTATATATAAACTACAAACTTAGCATAAATCCTGTACATAAGAAAAAATATATAATATGCTAGCTGCCATGATTGTGGTGTGAGAGTTGTAGATTTTTTTCTTTTTGGTTATGAATATTTAGTTGATCATCTTTGATTTTTTCTCACTCTCCTTGTTCTCTTGTATAGTTTTCACATTTGGTCATTATTGCAACAGTAATGCTGACCTGAATATGAATACTGAGCTTTAATGTTTTAGTTGGCTGGCACTATACTGTACGTTAAGTAACAGTTGCGGTGGTATTATTGTGTTAAACGGTTTATTATACAACTGACGATGGCAGGACTTTTTAACCACGTTTTCATCTGTGATATCCCTGTTGCTTCGTCTCAGCATTAATGGTCTTGGTAGCCTCCTCCCTTCATTTGTAACTCATTGGTCATCATTTTAAAGGAGTCTTTTGCCTTTACATCACATTTTATACCACACACTGTTGCCTACAGCCCAGAAGTGAATAAATAAAAGAAAATGGAGCATTAGAAGGGAACAGAAGAAACTTTCACAGATTCATCCCCAAGTATCTTTAATTTTTCTTTTTTCTTTTATTATTCCATTTTGTCTCCTAAGTTATATTTTCCCATTCTCTTCCCCTAAAAACCATTTCCTCTTATTTTCCCTCACTTAGTGTATACTTTTTGTTTACTTACTCATAATTAATTTCTTTAATGTACTTACCTGGTCTTGTATTTATATTTTTCCTTGTAATTGTAAAACAAGTGATCTTAGCATGCAACAGAGGCTATAATATCCATATCAACAATATTTGCAGTTGAATGACACGGCAGTACATTACACCCCATGGCGGAGCTAACAAATATGATATTTGTGGTACCTTGACCATAACATGAGATGTGAAACAACCAAAGGCACTTTATTTATGAGACAACTGGAGTGATGTATGTTCTGTCTCAAGTTCGTGTCTTGTTAGATTACTAAGGAGACTTTATTTTCACAAAATATTGGCTTATTAATTTTGTTACAAATATGCACTGTCATGTAGATAACAGTTGTCATTAATGTGTTGGCCATGCTACAGTTAGTAAACGGCTTATGTGATGTTAACGGGAATCTCATGACTGTGTAATATTTAACTGCTCAATATACCTTTGTTCCTTTTGTGTCGCCATTGATTTTGGAGTAGTGTGTCCCTTTTTTGAAATAGTTTAGGTGTGTAAGTCAACTACATGTGCACCCTTCCTTCCTGACTGACTGACTGAGAGAGAGAGAGAGAGAGAGAGAGAGAGAGAGAGATAGATATACTGTACTTCCATGCTCTTGGCCTGCCTGTGCCTAAAGACTCCATAATGCACACTTGGTTCATAAAAGCCATCCTATTACTTTTTATAAATACAACTGATGAGTATTGTTACTCACCCTAATTTTTTCATATACATTTACATTTTCATAGTACTGTATATTTTTTTTGGTAATTATGAATTTATACGCTATTGCCACACATGCACTTTTTTAATCCTGATCTTGGAAGACTCATTACAAAGTGGTGAATAATAGTTAAGAATGTCGTGTTGTGATTTGGGGCTTGTGAATTAACAGATGTTTTAGTGAGCTAGGAAAAGAGTGCTTGAATTGATTACAGTAAGGTGAGTTTGCCTTTATTTTTGATAGAATTGATTGCAGTGATCTGTGTTCATCTCAAAGCTACTGTACCATCAAGTTTCCAATCTACTTATTCAGCTTCTGTGCCCAGATGTAAATACTGTAACTGCATAATGTTGACTTGGAATCGGTGTATTTAGCAGAATTGTAGGTAAGCTGATGTCTGTTGTGTATTACAAGGTAGATGATTGTCTTGTGTAGGGTGTAGAGAGGTGATTGTAAGAATGCCAGGTAAAAAAATTTTTTAATGTGTATTAAATTGATGCAGAATGACTAAAAAAATACAGCTCAGTGTTCCTGTGAGAAGTGCAAGGAATATTTTGGTGCCTCAGGATGAAAGTGTTGTAAGTTCGTGGTAACTTCGTTGGTACAATGTATGATAGATTTACTTCATTCTCCCAGTAAATACACAAGCTACATGATTTGTGGGTATTTTAGTGGCACCCCTATGTGGTGGTAAAGCCTTATCACAGACACCGTTAGACTTGTGGTTTTAGGGATATTTTTATGTAGCGTTGTTACTTGAATTTACTTGTAGTAGACACATCCTTTGTTGGACCAGCTTAAAAAAAAATCTAACATAATTTGGAAACAAGTCAGGCATGGTCTCCTTGCCTTTGGAGCTTAAGGAAATTGACTAAAACCATCTGTAAAATATATTTTATTTTTTACAAGAACACACTACTGAGGTGACATAATCCAGTGAAAGTTTTTGTCAGTTTGCAGAAGCATGAAAGCACAGGAGCAACAATCTACTTGCCTTTTTCCTCTTTTTTTTTCTTATTCAATGCTGATTCCATTACCAATGAGTGTATTCAAGTAATGAATGTTGTATAAACAAAATACCAAAATTGCCAAGTATTACTGGTACAGTTTCCATCAACTCTGTCATCAGGTTATAAAAAGTTATTTTTTATTGCACTTATTTTGATGTGTAGTTGAAGCACATTGACACCAGGTGATGACTTATATTAAGTTATACCCAAGAAGTTTTACTCAAGATTATATGGCTAGTCAAAATTTTCTAAAAAATGAGCCCAGAGTATGACTTTCCTGATGTACTGTACAGTACTTTATTTTGTGTTCTTTGCTTAATTGAGACTTCTGGTGTATTTTGATTTTTACTGATATTTCTAATTTGCTTTTTATTTTTTATTCTGGAATGACATATTGATGTCCTCTTATTCAACTGAAATTATTTAATGAATCATAATAACCATTTGACCCCTTGTTTAAATCATGACCTAGCTGGCATATAAATATGCAGGTATATAATAGCAGAAGTATTCTGTATATAATTTATTTATTTTATATTCAGATTGTTTATCAGAGAGATGTCAAACTTAGCAGTGCATTTAGAATATATTTGAACTAAGAGATCGAAAAGGCATACCCCCGGAGTTTTAATTACCCTCTTCCATTGACGGGGGTCATCATGTTTCAACTAGAGTTTTAAAAAAATTGAGTCACAAAAGACACTGCACGACAATGCTTGACAAGGTGTGGCGGTGAAATGAACTAATTCCAATAAAGTTAATTTATAATATTGGAATTAGTTCATTTTACTGCCATACCTCCCCATCAAGCGCTGGTGTGGTGTCTTCCGTGACTAAAATTTTTTAAAACTGGTTGAAACATGACCCCGTCAACGGAAGAGGGTGATTAAAACTCCGGGCATTACTCATTACCATACTGGTAATGCTTCTCTCTCTTCTTGAATTTATTCTAATAAACTGAAGAAATGTGAACGATACTTAAATGTTGTGATTGTACACCAACATACTCAACACTTTGCTTGAATCTTCTGCTTTTCTGGACGTTACTGGCGACACAGAAGGGTTGATTCTCTTCTCTCGTAAACTCTGTGTTCGTTTATGCTCTTTGATGGTCAGTTTAGTTGGTGTTCATACAAGATCACTTGATTGTTGGATTAATGTGGAGTTCATGCAGCCCCACGAGACTGTTATTTGTGACTGAATTATTTTGACTTGAAAATCCCTGCTCAGCCTACACAGAAATATGCTCTGATTTGTGGTTTGTTCAGTTAATGGGAATGTTTACATGTGTCTGTGTGGCATTTATACATAACCATCTGTTTATTGTTCTTCTTATTGCTGTTATTATTATTTTTATTATTATTTACAGTGTTATTAGTATTTAGTCAATATTATTGTTATTTACAGTACATTGGTAACCTACTTTAGGCCATTGAGCTCATCTTTATTATAATTATTTTTTTATTTAATTATTACCATCTGGTTGGTATACAGTACAGTGTATATTTTTTTTTTACTTTTTGTTTATATCTGCCCACATTTGCATGCCATTTATTGTCTCGTGTGAAAATTTTTTATCAACATTGTCCAATTACGTACTAATATATTTGCTCGAGTGAATCTTTCCTTCTAAGATGCTCGATAAGCTACTCTGTATGTGCTTATATTTATATACAATATATATATATAATTTTTTTATCATTATGCATTACAGTTTTATGGTCATGTATTATATTAACTGATATTTCACTTTCTATAATATAACTCCACAAATGAAGTAAATGTCTTGAAAGTAGACTGAGTCGATAAAAGCCATTTATGCAGCTTGGAAAGTAGACACTGAATTGGTTGTTGATCTTTGAGTCATGGTTTTCAATCATGTGGGTGAATGTGTTAGAGAAACTTAACATTTTTGCAGTACTGTAGGTAGAAACTTGAGATTATTTACCAAATATTGTTTTGTATAGACATACAGTACTGTAATTTGCATTTGTTTTTTCTCTCCCTTTTCTCTCTTCACATTGCTGTTATTCTTTGGCCACATGCATAAGGTGAAATTCTTGTGACCTTATGTAGACTTTGCCAAGTGTCACCTCTGCTTGAAATTTCATGAGGCATTTTGTATGATGTTTGCAAGTGAAGTTGTGTTTGTGTTCACCGTGCCCATACATTCGTAGAAGGCATCATCTCACTTTGTATATTCATCTTTAGGCCTATGCCTGTGACTTTCTGGTGTACATAGTATTGGCTATATACGTACGTTTACATCTGCGCAGCTGTCCAGCCATTCACTGTAACGCATTTTGGATTTTCACAAAATTAAATCTGCAGTGAATTGCCATTTTTATGTGACTGTGTACTCTTTTGTTGACAGTTTTTTGGAGGGTTTGTTGGTCGTTATCCACACACACTGTATAAATATATTTCATCACAGTACATTATAGACATTATTGATTGACTTCTTTATGTAACTTCCTTCTGCTGTCCCCCATTTGCATCACCACCTAACCTCCATGAGTATTTTTTGTAGCACATCATCGTCACTATCATGCCCTTATAACCCAGAGTCATCATAGTCACAGAGAACACTTGTAACCATAACCTTATCACATTAACAAAAAAAAAGCATCACATTGTATGCATTGGTTCATCATTGTGCATAATGAGGAATCATAGTCACATAATCAGGTATATTGTCATAGCAACATACTCATACAAGTCTGAGCATAATCATCCTTAGTCATTCTTATCTTCGTGTACAGTGTCGTCACCGATCAGTTTGGTTATCGATCATCCACATAAATAGCGTCATCATCAAGTACCCCCATTAACCAGGCAAGAAGTCACCGTCACAGCCTGCAGAAGATAATTCACTCTTCACCCGACAAATTTCATTGTCACTCCTGATGTGTCTTTACTCTTCCCTTCGCTCCCAAACCTAGTCATCTCTCAAAATGCCTCCTCCGTATACATGTTCAGTTCATTCGACACCAAAATTATCTTCATTTGACCCAGCTATCTCTCGAAACATAGCAGTGAACCATTTCCATGTAATCCCATCCAAATCCTCACTTGCATAATCTTTGGAACACTAGTGCTCTTCTTTGAACCTACACGTCATGTATTACACTTGTTATGAAAACACACACACACACACTCTCTCTCTCTCTCTCTCTCTCTCTCTCTCTCTCTCTCTCTCTCTCTGCTATCTCACCTAACTGTGCTTGCATCAGAATGTACTATCCATTCCCATACCAGTAATGTAGCTACACTTCATCAATCACTTGTACAACCACATCTTTTTGTACCTGTGTATATTACCTGCATCACTTTTGTGGGATTTTCTTCTCTGAAGCTACTCATCATTGGACCTTTCACCATCAGATATACATGCATCACTTAATCATCCCCTTCACTACCAAGCAGACAGATAGACAGACACACTGCACCTCATCATTTCCTTTATTACCAGACAGAGACAAACAGACACCATACCTTGTCATTTCACCTGTGCATACTGTCACCCACCCACAATACCACCTGGACACACGACCACCTCATCTGACCCAGCCCACTAGTGTTCTCTTGGGCTGGTCCCTCTTAAGACATACCAGGAGTATGTTTGTATCAACGTGAACCAATTCAAAGTCATATTCACACAAACTACTTCAAAGTCATATCTCCATAAACCAATTCAGTCACATACACAAACTGATTCAAAGTCGTCTCGCCTGCCCCAGGTCTCACCACCCCATGGTTTGTCTCCAGCTGACCCGCCGAGGTACATTATGTCTGTGCTATTACGTTAATGTCATGTTTGTTGATGTTGAGTGTTTTAAGAACCACCACCACTACCCCTTCATATTTTGTAGAGTATGAGTCAGTATGGATCACTTAAATAAAGACATTTCATGTACACGGTTGTTTTAATGAATGATACTGTTGCTGCATGGTGGAATATGCTAATTAGAACGCTGAAATGTTATGTTATGGATGAGAAAACTGACTTAACACCGTGAGTATGAGGAGTTAATCCCATTAAGAATAACAACTTACTGTATTACTAATTGCGATACATTTTTCCGTTAGGTTTGATGACTTTACCCTTCTGAGTAAAATGCCATCATTCTTAAGGGTGTTGATGCATTGTACTCAAAAAGGTCTAGAAATTACTCAGTGGATTAAGTCATTAAATTCGAGGGGTTGAATCATCATACTCGGAGTTAATACATCTTCCAAAAATTGGGCTAATTCATCATACACAGGGTTGGCATCATACACAAATGGTTAAATGCTAAAATGTAGACATGTATAAATGAATGATATTGAAATTAAATATTTAAGAGTTTTTTATTAAAATCTTTACAAGGACTAAAGGTACAGATATAACAGTTGAATGGCATTTTGATAAGATCTTATTTTAGTTGGTGTGGAGCTTTTGGATGAGAAAATAGCGTTTTTGCTTGGGTGCTGGACCAAATTTTCTTAACCTAACAGGACATTAGAAGTTGTGAGGCTTTGTACATTTCATTATATTGGTTGTGAATATTACTGTCTGTACTGAATATAACTGTAGACACAATATAGTCAAGATCTCACCAATGAAAAGCAGAAAGAAACAAAATTAAAACTGAAAACAAGACTCAATATGGAGGAGAGTTTACTTGAAGGTAATAATAAGGAAAGATGAACTTTAGATTATTTTTCATCGGTGCAGCAGAAGTATCAGAACAGCTAAAGGGGTTCTGCCAGGATAGAAGGATTAAATCAAGACATAATAAAAGATACAGCTTGGAGAAGTAAATCTACAGAGGATTGAGTACAGTACATCACCCTTTACCGATGCTGGATATATTTAAAAGACAAGAAAATCTAGACTGAAATGTTCAAAATAACGGTTATTGAAATTTAATATTGATGTGACCAGTGTTGAGTAGAAATTCACACATTTTATCCTCAGCATGCAAGCACATTATACAGAGGCAGTATTAGTGTACCACAGTCTAGCTGGCTCAAATAAGCTAAAATTAAAATAATTTTAAAAACAATTAATGTACAGTAAGCTACACTGAACCTTATCTTCAACTACCTAACGCACGCAAGAATCTGATAATTAAAATGCTCTTAACCTGGTCTCTTTAGAATATACGAATTCCATCTTCAAAAATACTATCATTTTGTATGGGAGAAACCATACCATAGTGAGAAAAATACTTGTCGCCCAAGGAATTATTATTATATGTGACTTACCAAAGCATGAGAAATTGAAGAAAAAAAATATATATCTGAAATTCAAAATGATGGTTATGGCTTCTTTGAAATAGAACTATTAATACAGCAAGAAATAAACAGGAGCCCCGACTTATTGTACAATCATGGTGACACGAAATCGTTCATATTTCATCCTACTGTGAACTGAACAATACTTCTTTTCCATGACCTCATTGATTAATTGTAGTAAGTCTGACTTGTCTGTCTTACAACCTTCGAGAATGTCTTTAAACGACCTTATTTTCACAAACGAACCGCACATTAAATTTTTGGTGTATTTGAGAACGCATCTTACCGGGCGGGAGTCAAGGATGTATCCAGGTATACGGACTGTAGACTGACACGTTAGGGCAGACGTCGACTTAATTAATGTGTGGGGACAACACTAAACAGGTCTGCAGAACAAGGAGAGGGAAGAAACACTACGCTGACAGAGTAAGCTTCTATCAATAGTGCATTGACCTTGGCCAGGCTGTGTTGGGGACACTCACAGATGGCGGAGTACTTGTGTTGGTCCGGCAGACGAAAATGTCTTGTTTTGACTGGAAGAGACGAGATTGTCGGAGCATGAAGATGGGATCTACAGCACAGTTTATTGAACGGTGAGTGAACAATGTTGTTGTGTGGGAGGTAGTAGGCTGGACAGAATAGAGAAGAGTAGAATCAACAGAGCTTAACCATAAACAAACCTTTATACAGTATAGAGGTAGAATATCTCAAGGTAAAACTAATCTTCCTGCTGGGTTATTTAGCCTAAGAACTTACGAGAATCTCGTCATTCACACTTTTATCTAGATTGAATATATATATATATATATATATATATATATATATGTGTGTGTGTGTGTGTGTGTGTTTACAGTACAGGTACAATAGTACAATAATTTCCACGTATTTACATAATTAAAAGTATTAACTTTTGGAATCAGAAATTTTATACGGAAATCCCATTACAAGTACAGGTTAAATTTTAAAGTATAGATAAATTGTTCGTAATATACGCTTCTATAATTCCATTTATTAAAACAAATTTAGTAAAGATTCGTTTTAGCGTCCCTTTTGTTTTTTGCAGGGATATTTTTTTGTATTTTGGTCTGATTTGTTTAAATCTGACCTTCATTTTCTTTGAAAAAATCCCCATTTATGAGAAAATTTCGAAGAAATATATAGAACTAACCAACCAAGGCAGAAAGTCAGATCAGCAACCTGGGACTTGGTTCCAGTTTTTGTTATACCATATGCCAGCAGGGTCTACCATTAGACACATTATGCTTCCTTTCGACATTACTTCCAAAATAATGACTATCCACGGATGTTGAAAGGTAAATAGCAAAATATTAACTCTTTCTATAGTAATTGGCGGGGACGTTAAAACAATTCTTAACCACAAATTCAACTGACGAACCTTTTAGAATTTTAACTGAGTTATAATCATATACTCTACATCAGTGACAGTGAGCCTCCAACACAACCAATCACGATAATCAATATCGTACCTTTTCCTCTTCACCACTGATCGGCTCATCAGTCGCTTTTATTATAAATGGCGTAGCTACCAATTCTGACCATACCCGACCCAGAATATTTAAAGCGGGTCCCCCAACTTCCTCTCCCTCTTTTACATCGTCTTTTTTTTTTTCACTCTCCCCTCCTCTTCCTCGGGAGTGTGGCATTCGAGTGGATATAGCACTCGCTTCCTGTTCCAAGTGTTGGTGGTTCAATCCTCGGGCACTCCCAGTTCACCCAGTTGTAAATGGGTACCTGCAGTAGGTCTACAACTTGGGGAAGTGAATGCTGTCGAGTGCAGTACCGGCCATGCTGCCTCCGTGTGTACCGAAGGCTTAGTATACAGTGTGCTGTATCCACACTGTCTCAAACTGACGGTCATGCCTATGGGACCCACTTTCACTTTTTTCCATCTCCTCCCCTTTCCCCGTCTCTCCCTTCCTGCCCTTACACCCCTCTTTCTTACCTTTCACTCTTTCTTTCTCTTCTCCCTCTTTTCAACTCTTCTTCCCATCATTTCAATGGCCAATAACACATTTCTTAGTTACTCTATGAAAACAGAGCCTGAACGATCGCTTCAATCACTGTAGTTCTCCCTAGCTCTTCATCGCCTCCGGTAGTGACCTTGTAAACAATACAACAATACCTTTCGCTCCATACGGAAGTTCGCGTTATCTTGTTAACCCTACAAGTCAGAGAAATAACGAGGGATTTAGATGAAACTTGGTGTGTGGATGTAGTCCAACAAGATCACGAAGTAGTTATATAATTATCAGTTCTTTTCCTCCTTATTTTAGGGAGTTGTGTTCTCTGTAACGAAGGAGGAACTAAAGAATTTTGTGGTTAATTTCTTTCTCTAAACCATTCCTCTGTCTTCCTAATTGTAAACGTCTTGTGGTTTATATTTGTAAGTATCTCTCTGCTGACGAGCGAACCACACACGTAGTAGCTTTGTATTTTTGATTCCCTTAAAGAAAAAGGACATAGCCAATTGTGTAGTGGTCACGTTTATAACTTCGGGTTTTACGAAGGTGGTTAGGCTAAGTTTAGGCTGAGATAGTTTAAGTTAGGTTATTCCCATTAAGCTAAGTTAGGTTATTCCCATTAAACTAGGTTTCAAACTCGGGTTTCGGAATAGCTGAGACCCAAGTCCAATTAGTGTACGATCAATGTTATTTTTATTATTATTATTATCATTATTATTATTATTATTATTATTATTATTATTATTATTATTATTATTATTATTATTATTATTATTATTATTATTATTATTATTATTATTATTATTATTGTTGTTGTATGGGATGGTGTAATACAATGATGTTTATTAATTCATAGTAGTGTTTGTGTACTGTTACTGTATAAGACCTTTGTAGCTGTGCTTTAATAATAATAATAACAACAACAGCCTTCACTCAACACAAGCTCACCTTACTTAACAGTATCCAGAGCATAATGTAACCCAATAAGTTTTGTCATGGCTCCATTATTTTGCCATTCACTACCCAACCAGTCCCCTTAACCAAATTGATCAAGATTCACGGATATCGTCCCCTTCCTCTATTAAAGAACATCACCAAGTTAAGTGTGAGCTCGGTAAGTCCAGGTTAGACCAGCACTGACCCGTGTTAGGTATAGTCAAGAGCCTATACATGCCAGGTATTCGCTCAAGGGGAGAATTCAAGATGTTGTTGGCCGTCTGGGTGTGTTGTAAGGTTATAATTGATGAAAACGAGTACTTTAAATATGTAGTATAAAAGTTATGAGAAGTCTTTAGGAATTTTTAGTTTTTCTTATCGTCCGCCGTCGTTGCCTGTGCGTGTGTGTGTGTCTTGAGCTCCCGATAACTCTTACACATACAGCTTATTATTATGGACGTAGCCGAACAAAATCTTAGATGAGTTCGTTTATCAATATTTCCGCTTCATCTTATGGTATGTTTACATATATTTTTGGTACCTTAATTAACAACGTAATGTACGCTTAGCGGCTCCATCTAGTAGATAAATTAAGAACTACATTAAGTGAATTGGTGACGGTAGGTTAGATATAGGGTATGTATTTTATTTATTGTTTTCTAATTTAGTGTCGTTGTCTTCTAGCGTTCTTCATGGCGGCTCACATAATACAATAAAT